TTTTGTTGCCTAGGTGCAGATCACTTGCTTTCACTGTTGTTGTAACTCAGTTCATATTGTTGCGTAACCTTTACACTCATACTTTCTGATGATGTTCACTGCTGTTTTGGGATTTTCCCTGAAAATTTTTTGTGATTCTGCATTTCCTCACTGTCTTTAGCTCGGATTGCTTCGTGAATCACAAATATATGAAATTGAATAACTGGTCTTAATTGCCCTATTTATTATTACATTTTAATGGAATTAGATGTGACGGGGGGTCTCTGTGACGGGTCTTGGCTAAATGAAGCAGCGTGAGAGGGAAACAGCAGCAGAGATTGTAAACATAAGGCCAGTTTCCACCATCTGAACTTCCAGGTAATTTTACCAGATGGACCTTCATGGCGTGCGTGTGTCTCCATTTAATGGGCTGGTCCAAAAGGACCACTTTCTGGGTCATTTCAGAGACTGACCAGGTACATGAACTGGAATGTCCTCTGAAATGGGCTGGTAAAGTCGCTGGGCGGGACTTGTGGTTAACTCGTGCTGATTGGTTGTAACTCAGTAGTAAATGATTCCTGGCAGATGTAGCCAAACAACTGGCATTTGTAAAATTGGAGGACTCACTGGTGAAGCAGAGTAGAAGGAAAATAAAATAAGCAGCATTGATGCTATTTTAAAATCCCATTTTTAATCTCCCAATACCGATTGGTATTCTTACAGATGATTAAACGCCATATTTACATCACACATGTACTTTTCTGGTACCCCAAATTGAATTAAAATGTGATGTGATGTTTATTTGACATGGACACAGCAATTACGTTGGACAAACCAGATGCATTGTTTAGTGTGTTAGCACACGTGCTAATTTGCAACACTTGTCCGTAGAACCTTTCTAAAAAGTAGAGTACATTTAAATGAAACACAAAGAGATCAACAATAAATCAAACAGAAAACAGATTAAAATTGCAAACAATTTTCAATAAAAAAGAATAAAAAGAAAAAAACAAGGCAATTTGAGCAGCAATGTAAGAGTTTAAAACTATTCATGTAGACATTGTTGTTTAGACTTTAACCATTTTTTGAGTTCTTTGTTAAAAACTTTACTGTCCGTTTCTAGTTTTAGGTCAGTAGGTAGAGAGTTCCAAAGTTTGGCCCCCTTTACAGAAAGAGCAGACTGACCAAAAGAAGTCTTGCACCGCGGGACGAGACAATCACCACAGGTGAAGGCTCGAGTGATCGTTCTATGAGAGCTCTGACGTCTGATGGCCACAGTAGAGAACAGTTTAGACAAGTTATCATTGAGACAATTGAAAAAGAATCTTAGAGTGCTAAAATTTATAAAATTTTCGAAAGTGAGAAGATTATGTTTCCTCAAAATGCGACAATGATGCCATTTCAATGGTTTCTGGTCCATAATTTTTATTGCTTGCTTGTATATTAAGACCATAGGTTTTAGAGTGGTGGATGAAGCCTGTGACCATGATGTAATGCAATATGATAAGTGGGGAAAGATCAGTGCATGCATGTACAGTTTAGCAGTTTGGTGTGACAGATTCCTTCTGAAAAAACGGAAGCAGTTTAAATTTTTATTAACCTTATTACAGACGTGTTTAACCTGACTGTCAAATTTTAGGTGTTTGTCTAGGATGATCCCAAGGTACTTCACATCACTCCTTACTTCAATGATTTCCTCTTTAATCCTAACCTGAAATAGTTCCTGATCAGGCCTGTTTCTCATAGAGAAGCATATGGACACCGTTTTTTTTTTTAACATTAAGAGTTAGGTGGGATGACTCTAGCCATTCTGAGATGTCTGATAAAGCCTGCGTCAGGCGCTCTTCTGCCAGGCCAGGTGTTTTTGTGGACGCATAAATGACGGTGTCATCAGCATACATCTGGCAGTTGACGCCTGAGCAGCTCATCGGAAGGTCATTAATGTACATTGTAAACAGCAATGGACCAAGCACGGATCCTTGTGGTACACCCATGTTGTTTGCAAGCAGACTTGACTTGAACTCATTAACCCTAACACACTGCTGTCTACCCTCCAGGTATGAACTGAACCATTTCAAAGCTTCATGTGATATTTTAAATTGCATTAGTTTATTAAGTAAGACTCTATGGTTAACTGTGTCAAAAGCCTATTTTAGATCCAGAAACACTGCCCCTACAACACATCCTTTATCCAGAGAAGTTTTTATCTTTTCAAGCGGATAACAATTTGCAGATTCTGTGGAGTATTTCTGTCTAAAGCCAAACTGCTGTGAATAAAGCAGTTGGTTGGACTCTTAAGTGATCTATTAGTTGCTCAGCTACAATCTTTTCTAGGATTTTTGAGACTATCGGGAGGATGGCAATAGGCCTGTAGTTACTTGCTAAGTCCTTTTCTCCCGATTTGTAGACTGGAGCAATTATTGCAGTTTTCCAGCTTTCTGGGAATCTCTTTGTTTGAATTGATAAGTTTACTAAATATGTGATCGGCTCCAACATATAACTCTGATGTTTCTTAATAAATGTCGTATTTAAGTTATGGATATCCTTTGCCATGGACATCCTCATGTTTGCAATCACTTTTTAACTTTATCCTGGGATACTTATTTTATATAGAAAGAGTTGGTGTGATCCTTATCAAAGTCGTTACAGGGTGGGTCATTTAATTTAAAACGACTGGCTAAATCTTTCACAGACTCAATAAAAAAATTATTGAAGCCATTTGCAATTGACTCATTACTATAAATGAGTTCATCACATATTTTAAGGCTATTTATTTTTGGGTGCTTTTGCTTGCTATACTTGGTTAGTCTGTTTATATGTTGCCACAGTTTAGAACTGTTGCCATTTGCCTCTTCAATCAGGTCATTAAAATAATTAGTCTTTGCTTTCCGCAGATCAGACACTACTTTATTTCTTAGTCCAGTGTAAATTAAATGGTCAGTATTGATTTTAGTCCTTAATGATCTTTTCAGAGCAAAATCTCGCTCTTTGATCAGCTGACTGATATCACTGTTGAACCAAGGAAGAGACTTTTTCTTAGGCTTTCTTTTCCAGGTTCTTGTGTGCTTACCAATTATACCATGAAGGGTCAAGACAAAACTGCTTGCACTATGGTCTGGAAGTTCATTCTTGATGACTGTTGGTCTCTGATTCTAATAAAAATGTTTGTGCAGTTGTCTTGCTGTAAAACTAAACAAATGTGGATTTGTTAAGTGGAGGCTTTCCTCTAGCTTCGGTCCTGATGTAAACAAAGTGAAGCTCACAGCTTGCTGCAGAGCTTTTTTGAGACAGTAGCTTCTAAATAGAGTGTAAAGGTCTGCCTCACAGCGCATCACCTTCAACTTTCTGTTACCGTGACAACAATAACTTCATATTTTTTGCCTTCTTTGTCACCCTGTCCAATGGCATACTGGTCAATCTGTCAGGATTTAGCAAGTTCTCTAAACAACAAAACTTTTTTATCCATCTTTGAGCACTTGTTTAGATTATCAAGATGCCGTCCAGCATTCCAAATTCTCTTCACGACCTCCAACCTGCGCCTCCCAGCCTTTGGCTGCCCGGCTCAAGAGGCAGCGAGTTTCGTTTTCACATGCCTCCACATTAAAAACGGTTGAATGGTTTGATCTTGACTCCACCGCCAGTCGTGTGGCGTACACGTCAGGGTCCATTTGTGTGTTTGGTAAGTGTAAGACTTTAGGGTGCTGATGGAAATGAATCAAACTGTTGAAAGTGTGTGTGTGTGTGTGTGTGTGTGTGTGTGTGTGTGTGTGTGTGTGTGTGTATGTGTGTGTGTGCGTGTGCGTGTGCGTGTGCGTGTGTGTGTGTGTTAAAGTGGAGTGCAATGTGTGGAAGCTCTGCCTTTAAGTGATAAGGTATTCACTTTGTAACTCAGCAGGAGGCCCAGCAGGTTGCAGTAGATCTGCCCCTCTGTAGTGCTGATGTTACACACATCACACACCTAGACGTTAATGCAAATGGACCAACACACACACACACACACGCGCACAACTAAGACTCACGCACACATCTGCCCATCTCGTGTTAGAAAATAAGTTTTCTGAAAATCTGCAAAGCTTTTAGGAAGAAAAAGCAGCTTTTGGACACTCTTATACAGATAAATCCATTGATGCTCCTCCAATCACTAACACACACACACACACACATATATAAATATCTATGTTTATACTCCCTCCGAAACAAATCCCAGTGCATTGACAAACACTCACACTGCCAGGCTGAAACTTTGTTTAAGCTGGAACGGCGAGCTGCAGCCAACTCTGCAAACTGCTGCAACATATCGTGTGTCAGCCGCCATGCCGCGAGCATTAGCAATATCTGGTTTGCACATAAGTTATTGAGAGCCATTTGTAAACAGAAACATGAAAGCATACAAGCTCGCACGCTTGATCATCAAAGACTTATCGATCGAGTGGTCCTCCTCCTCCTCCATGCTTCACTGAAAACCAACGGGAGCAAAGTAAAGTTCTTATTTTTCCCCAGACATGTTTTAAACGTCCTCTTTTTCTCTTCCTTTTGCTCTTCTTCGTGTGTCTGTGCAACCTCTTGCAGAACTTTTGTGTCTTCAAATGTCCACATGTAGAACTCTCTCTCTCTGGGAGACGGTCAGGTTTCTGATTTTTGTTGCTTTTCTCCAGTTTCTGTGACATTTTTTTACGCTTTTTGTGTCTCTTTGCTATCAATGGTTAAAATGCATGATTAAATGCAAGCATCAAGTTTTTGTTTGAATGAAATTTTCTGCACGTTCACCTCCCGCTTCTGAAACATGCGGTGACTAAATGCTAGATGCGTGTGAAACCTAAAACAGGATGAGTGCCCCCGTTAGGCTGGATCCAGTCATCGTTTTCAGTCCCATCTCTTCCATGTAAAATGAACAGGATATACAAAATAGAAAATACACTTTCAGATCATTCACGCCATCCAGTATCTTATTAATGTACCGTAAACAAAATGACAGAAATATGACTGAGTCATTTTGTGTTGTTGTTGTGTTTCCTCAACAGTCCAACAAAGTCTCGGTGGTGCAGCAGTCTCACGGGATGCACCCGCTGACGTCCCTGCTGCCTTACAGCAATGATCACTTCAGCCCAAGTCCTCCACACCTGCCCACAGATATGAGTCAAAAGACGGGTGAGAACACACACACACACACACACAGCTACGTGTGTGAAGCGGCTGCACCAGCTCTGTCTCTCTGCGGCGGTCCCACGTCAGCTCTGAAGTGGTCCGTTCCTCTGAAGGGACCGCCAACCACACACACATGCACACAAACACACACAAAGATGGAAACAATTAGGGTGACAATCGCACAGACCATCACAGCAGCTCACACACGGTTCTCCTTTGCAAACTTTTCAAGCAAACACACTGCACTCTGTTTGGAAGTCACAAACAAACACACCCTGACATTTAAACACTATTGGAGCATTGCCTTGCTGGGGGCGGAGCCTAGAAGGTGACAGACTTGTCTTCGTGAACTTTTAGCTCCGTATCTGGCAGTTTTTAGTTTTTTTTTTAATCTTGCAGTTGATGTCATATTTTTATATCATTTTCCTCTTACTTTGTGATCATCCCTGAAATGTAAATAGTCAGTCGCTGTTTGTACGTTCATTATTGTACTTTTTGTTGGATGTGTGTGTTTGAGACCATTTGAGACCAGATATCTCATCCTAGCTTCACTACAGAACATGAAATACCCTCTTGGGTGGGCCATATGAAATCTGACGCTTCCTCAGATCTTCTCTTGATGTGGATGATTAAAAAAGCAAAAGTGACCTTTTGGGAAACTTTTATCATGCTAATTTATATATTTTTTGTAGATCAGCTCTTTATTAGGAGTCGTTGCTTTTATTGATTGTGGTTTGTAGGAAGAAATGCATTTTTTGTCAACCCTTAGTAGCCATTAATGAAATCACCTCTGCATTAGCGATACTGTTTGGGTTTCCTTGTTTATTTCTGCTATTTAGTTGTTTGTGCACCTGGCTGTTGCTGAATGCACACATTGAGTTGAGGATTGCACAAAATCAGTCAGTGCAGATTGTTGCAACAGCTAGAAAGGCAGGAAAAACTCCCATTCCAAAGGCAAGCTTCCTCTACCTCTATTATTATTTAAACACCGTAAAAGTCAGCTTGCAGGTCTGCTGTTTGGCAGGAGTTGCATGAAAGCTTTTAGAGCTTCCCTGGTATCAGTGTTTACACGTGCAGTGACCTGTTTGTCAACCTTGATCCAGATGAGGTTGGACTTTCTTCAAATCACCTCTTCTAGCCAGGTTTTGGTGACCTAATCATTTATTTAAGCAGATGAGTAAATTTAAAAACGGGACATTTCAAACGAAATGCAAAGTGCCAGAGAGGAGGAACGAAATGCAAATATTGAAGAGGAGAAAAAGAAAGTGCACCCGAGTGATCTGAGGAGTGTGTGTGTAAACTTTTAGAGAAGTGAAACTAAAACTTTTATTTAGTTCTCATTAGATTTATTCCTGTGGTTTCTTGGTAAAGTGTAGTAACTGTGCTGCAATAAACCCCAGCAGGCATTTGTAAAAGTTGTGAAACCTTGGCCCTGTGTGCCAAACTAAAGGTGAACACTCTAAAATCATGGCTCCTGATGTGATATTTAAAGCTTTTTATGACAGCGTTAATCTCAAGTTAAAACTTTTTAAGTTTTTGCATCCAAATAATAGTTCAGAAGAAGAGACGTTTTATTCTTTGAGAGAAAAGAAGTAAAGAACAAGACAACAGAGCAATGAAACACAGACGTGAGCTGAATGGAAGCCTTGTGCTGCTGTGATTAGGTATTAAACTAAGAGACCTCTGGTAATCTCCCTGCTTCGCCTGGAAATCCCCCCTTTTTCCTGCAAACACACGCTCCTTGTCTCGTCTAGACTGTGTGTGTGTGTGTGTGTGTGTGTGTGTGTGTGTGTGTGTGTGTGTGTGTGTGTGTGTGTGTGTGTGTGTGTGTGTGTGTGTGTGTGTGTGTGTGTGTGCGTGTGTGTGTGCGTGTGTGTGCGCGTGTGCGTGTGTGTGTGTGTGTGTGTGTGCGTGTGTGTGTGCCTGACTCAGACTCTGACTCTGACTCAGCTCTTAATGACAGACTGAACCACCTGCTTCTACCTCACACAAACACACTTCTAACACCTGGATGCTGCATCCAGCCTTCCTCAAACCTGAGTAGACACACACACACACACACACACACACACACACACACAGACAGACACACACACACACACCTTACCTAATGCCTGTCAGCTGATCACAGGTATGGATGACCTCACTGGTGGACTCATTTCATCTTTACACACCGTCACTCAGCATGGATTTAATTTCTTTTGTTCTCATTGCCATTTACTCTGAAATGAGGGGTTTGCTCACTTCTAAACATCTGAATTAGCAGAACTGAATCTATTTTAGTAGAATGTGATTCAAATACCGTAAATCCTCTAATACAGGCCGGTATTCAATTAAAGGCCGGGTCTCCAATTTTGGCCGGTGTCGGAGTCAGCGGAGGTAAATAATGGCCGGTCTCTTATTGTGGCCGGGTGGAATGTGGTAACAAGCAACTATGAGCGTCCCAGCGGCAGGGTTATAGTCCCCAAATCAACCAGCAGGAGGCAGTAGAGGTTCACGCAGACCTTTTCTTGAGCTTTTTCTTCAACGCTTTGTAACGCTACAGACACGATCCTCTATCACGCTCCTACCACACAGAGTCACGGTGTCAGTTAACCATGCTAATTCAACCCCTCCACAGAACACACATCACCTTCCCTGTGGCTTACATAACACTCACCCAACACGCAAATCAGCACATAGGAACCAGCAGAACGATAGGAAACATATAACACAATACCCAGAATGCACCTGGCTTACAACCCCAGCCAGGTCATTACACTATCAAGTTCAAAGAGAACGTGCTGATTATGCTGCAGAACACTCTGGAGAGCAGCAGTAGGGGGTGTATGTACTAGTCAACTTCACTATACAGTAATCCCTCGCTACTTCGCGGATCGTTCATCACGGATTCGCTGCTTCGCGGATTTTTTTCTTTGGAGCATTTTTCAGGGGGAATTCGCAGATTCGCGGTATTTTTCACTGATTCGCGGTATTTTTCTATGCGAAATATCAAGAAATTCTTGTTTTTTTCATCAATTTCATCATAAAATGCACTTTTTGTAATAAAACAAAAAAAACAAGTAAAAAATTTTTTTTCTTGAGTTTTACCCACAAAAAGAGAATGTGATCATACGATAATTCAATAGGGAGCGTGGTTTCACAGATGCGGAAGTGATAGCGTCGGTGAAACGCCGGCTGATCTAGGAAACCCCCGAGCGTTCGAGCGTCAACGAAGTGACACGGAAATGCCGGGCTTTCCAGAAGTAAGTAACATAACTTACTATGAGCTGATAGTTCGTTGGATTGATCGGTAGGTTGGAAACTCTGATCATGAATCTGAAGAAACGATGACTGAGTGGTGAGCTGGAAAGGCGACTTCCGTTTATAGCCGCGGTTTGTGACGTAGGTGCAACGTGGAGGGAATCCCCGCGAGGGGCATGCTGGGAGTCCCTACTTCGCGGATTTTCACCTATCGCGGCCAGGTCTGGAACACATCTACCGCGATAAACGAGGGATTACTGTAGTGACTTTTTATGCCTGTCGTCGACTAGTCGCTGTCACGTGATAATGACCAGCAAGATGCAGCCCTCGGAAAAGACAGCAGCCTGCTGCCAGCAGGTGACAAGCTCCTGCGCTCGGGGGGGGGGGGGGGGGGGGGGGGGGGCAACACGCTGTGCCAGACCGTAGGTACTGACCCGCGATCGTTCATGTCGGTTCATTTCCTTTAATGTTTTCTGTCTTTTATTTGCGCCTGATGTGTATCGCTGCTGTGGAGCGGGGCGCATCAACTTGTCCTCCGATGCACAGATCACTGATGCGGCCGGCAAGCAGGCAGTGCTCCGCTGTTTTCGCGGTTGGTAGATCTGCCTCCTTAGCACGGCCACAGTAACAATCAGGTGTCGCCACCTCAAAAACTAATTTAACACGCGATCGTTCATGTCAGTTCATTTCCTTTAATGTTTTCTGTCTTTTATTTGCGCCTGATGCGTTTCGCTGCATGCTGTGGAGCGGGGCGCTGCGCATCACCTTGTCCTCCGACGCACTGATCACTGATACGGCCGCCAAACAGCGAGCGCTCCGCTGTTTCTGCGGTCGGTAGATCTTTTAGAACTGCAGTTCAAAGGTAACTCATGAGGTGAATATATATGAACCCAGGTAGCAGTTTTTCTTTAGGATTGAGAGGAGATGCAGGAAGATAATAAACAGACAGGACAGAAAAATAGTCAAATAAAAACAAGTTAGTTTTTGTACCTGCTGTTGCAACAAACAGACACCATTGAAGGTCATCAGAAGTGAGGAACAGAAAATGAAATAATTATTTTAATGTTTAGAGCAGCAGGAACTCCGAGAGGCTGCAGGCACATCAGTGAGTTTGCGGCCGCTGCGCAGGGGGAGGGGGGAGAGGGCTGAAGCAGGGGGAGGGGGTAGATGGCTGAAGCAAAAACTACCGTTGTTAAAAGAAATGTGTTTAACTTTGAAAATGTGGGTGCAATTTTAATTGTCAAAAACTCCAGCGAACCATTAGTTCATTTTGCTCAATTAGAAATAGAGGCCTGCCTCTAATACTGGCCCTCCTTCCAATAAAGGCCTGGAGCTTGATGAGCTTGAGTCAAATACAGGCCCGGGCCTGTATTAGAGGATTTACGGTATGTCAATTATTTGCATTTTATTTGCTATTTTTTTTATATTTTAAAATAATTTTCTTGTGTCCGTATGTGCTAAAATGACTCTTTACACAATGAATGAAATGCCACTCAGTCCCCCACCGCCCGCCGTGGCCAGAATACATCATTTGCAAATTCAGAGTGCCTGTCCGGTCTGTTGGACTTGTTGGAAATGGAGCTGACATACCTTTGGCTTCAGTCTGCTCCCAGCACATTCCCTGCATCAGTGGTCCTCTAATGGCGGCCCGCGGGCCACGTCCGGCCTGCGAGCCCTCTCTTTGTGGCCCCCAAATCCCACGCGCACCCCCCACCCCCACCCCTGACGGCCGACCGGGAGGTGTAGGATAGATAGAGCTG